ATGTGTTGGTGACCCCCTCCCTCTGCAGCCTGTGTTGATATAACACAAGATCCATAATGCATATGGCTGCTCGATGGCTTTGCCACTTGAATATATAACATTCACTGAAACTGAAGAGCAATACGGTGGCCGAGAGGTGCATACTCGCCCAACGGCCCAACACTAACATTAGAGAAACACACTGCAAAATGAGAAAATAAGAATAATACAAATGTGCCAAAACACATGCGAATGAAGAAACATCTTGGCAACACATGCACTTGGAATACATTCACAAATGCGCAGCGCTTACTAAAACAAATCAAAAGGTGTTAGGGAGAAAAACACTGCAATAAGCTGAAAACACAACAGAAACGGAGAGCTTGTTGGCGTTCAGGGATTATAAAGTTGGCCAACTGTCTCCGTCACTGGAAATGTAATTAAAATGTGGGTTTCAATATCTTATTTTGACAAAGTGATCACACGATTCCTTCCGATGTTATGGCAGATAAGCTAGCTAGCTAACGTAGCTAACCTAGTGCTTACCGTCTACCTACGGCCCGTCTACACTACAGGCGTCAAAAAATGCTTTCAACGCTTCGCCCATTAATTTGAATGGGGTGACGTAGGATATTTTAAAACTTCGCCGAACTGCATTGTGGGTAGCATGGCAAGGCATTGCAAGCATCGCGAGCGTCTATCGGCGTCAAAAGTTGAACAATGTTCAACTTTTGAGGCTCGATGCTTGCTCGAAGCTGGCGTCAGCCAATCAAATCCCGTTTTTGCAAATCCCGCCAGTACAAGCGCTAGCCAATCAAACCGCGTGCAAGCTGGGAGAGCCAGACCGCAGTTCATTTCCTCATATTCCAAATGAGAAATTACGGTAGCAAATCACCCGGTTCTTTCCGACCAGAACTATTTACCGGGATACAAACCGGAGGAACCAGGCATGGAGGGAGGTGGCAGAGACAGTGGGTGAAACTGGTAGGTTTTCGCCTGTTTGGGGAGTTTATATCCAGTTTACTTCGTTTTAACATTGCTATTGCTTTGTATGTCGGGGGCGGGAGATTCATGTGATTGGTTGTTGGTCGCGTTGCTTGCAAAAAATCGGCAAGCTTCAGACACGCCCAGCTTCAAGATTTTTCGATGCCTGTAGTGTAGACAAGCCGTTATAATCCTCATCATGTCTCGTACACACGGTTCCGTCGCGTTGAAGCTTGCCGGTGGGTGTGTCTGGTGCACGACCGCAACAACCAATCACATTCATCTCCCGCCTCGGACACACATGCACGTGGTTTGATTGGCTAGCGCTTGTACTGGCATATCGGCCCGTCTACACTACAGGCGTCGAAAAAGCTTGAAGCTGGGCGTGTCTGAAGCTTGGCGATTTTTTGCGAGCAACGCGACCAACAACCAATCACATGAATCTCCCGCCCCCGACATACAAAGCAATAGCAATGTTAAAACGAAGTAAACTGGATATAAAATCCCCAAACAGGCGAAAACCTACCAGTTTCATCCACTGTCTCTGCCTCCTCCCTCCATGCCTCGCTCCTCCGGTTTGTATCCCGGTAGATGAACAGAGACTGATCATACAGCACCGGGTGATTCACTACCGCTATAATGAATTTTCCCTCCATTTTTTTGAATATGAGGAAATGACCTGCGTAGTCTCTCCCAGCATACACGCGGTTTGATTGGCTAGCGCTTGTACTGGCAGATTTGCATAAACGGGATTTCATTGGCTGACGCCAGCTTCGAGCAAGCATCGAGCCTCAAAAGTTGAACATTGTTCAACTTTTGACGCCGATAGACGCTCGCGATGCTTGCAACGCCTTGCCATGCTACCCACAATGCAGTTCGGCGAAGTTTTAAAATATCCTACGTCACCCCATTCAAATGAATGGGCGAAGCGTTGAAAGCATTTTTTGACGCCTGTAGTGTAGACGGGCCGTATGATTTGATTGGCTGGCGCTTCCGTCGAAAGTGAATGGGAAGCGTCTGTTCTTATACATCCATGGTTGAAGCATGCGACGGAACCGTGTGTACGGTGAACGTCACCAAGTGCTCCGGTCCCAGCTGTGTGCGTCACTTTTTAGTGTGCCCGGGTCTCCGTTGTGTTTTGAGCTTCTTGCAGCCTTTTGTTTTTCTTTTATGAATCGGTTTAAGTAAACACTGCGCATGTTTTGTCAAGTTGGTAAAGATGTGTCTTCATTTGCATGTATATTGGCACATTTGTGATTTTATATTTGAATCGTTTCTGAATTAAAAAAGAACCAGCTGTTGGTTTGGAGTCTACAATGTGAATCCTATTTGCTCTGCGGATCAAAACTACAGACATAAAGTGTCTGTATCAAACAGGTTCATGACAGGCTGAGAAAGCAGCCCACGGTACACACTTCTTGATGTGTGTGTGTGTGTGTGTGTGTGTGTGTGTGTGTGTGTGTGTGTGTGTGTGTGTGTGTGTGTGTGTGTGTGTGTGTGTGTGTGTGTGTGTGTGTGTGTGTGTGTGTGTGTGTGTGTGTGTGTGTGTGTGTGTGTGTGTGTGTGTGTGTATTCTGCATACCTAGACAGCAGTAAATGAAACGTGCTCCCAAGTCAGTGGTTCAGCAGGGGGGGGGGGGGCTGTTCTGGCAAGATATTAATGCAGACAGTGGGAGAAAATCAATGCAAGGGTCTACGGGTGAGAGCGAGAGAGACAGACTGTTCTCTTGTCTGCTCACCTGTCCGTCACTTCACTGCAGCTGAACATGTAGATTCCTTTAAAAAAATAACATCATTTCCACAAGATCTCTCATTCTTCAAATGGAGTATCTGCAACTATTTCAGCCATATTATTGAAATGATATTACCACAGCATGGCAAGGTGAAATGAGTTGTTTTTTATCCTGTATTGCTCCCTGCATTTATAAATCAGATCCATTGACCAGAGATCACCAAATATATCCAAATGTTGTTCTGTTTTATCTAACACTGCCCTGCTGCTCTCCTCACTCTGTGACAACTGCACTGCATTCCTGTCAACTATAAACATTCAAAGCAGCCCCCATAGAGGCAGGTCTGAAATGAGTTTAATGCAAACAATCAATGCAGCAGCAGTCTCTCCTAACAAATCACATTTCACTCAAACTATATACACACACACACACACACACACACACACACATACACACACACACACACACACACACACACACACACACACACACACACACACACACACACACACACACACCACACACACACACCTACACACACACACACACACACATACATACACACACACACACACACACACACACACCTACACACACCCACACACACACACACCACACACACACACCATACACACACACACACACACACACACCCCACACACACACCACCAGCACCCACCCATACACCCACACCACACACACACACACCCCACACACACCCACACCCACCCCCCCCCCCCTACACCACACCACCCCCACCCACACCACCCACCCACCCCACACAACACCCCCCCACCACACCCCCCCCCCCCTACCCCCACACCCCCCCCCTCCCCCCCCCCACCCCACCACCCACCCACCCCCCCCCCCCCACCCCCCCACCCACCCCCCACCCCACCCCCCCCCCACCCCCCCCCCCCCCCCCACCCCACCCCCCCCCCCCCCCCCCTCCCCCCCCACCCCCCGCCCCCCCCCCCCCACCCCCCCCCCCTCCCCCCCCCCCCCCGCCCCCCCCCCCCCCCCCCCCCTCCCCCCCACCCCCACCCCCCCCCCCCCTCCCCCCCCCCCTCCCCCCCCTCCCCCACCCCCCCCCCCCCCCCCCCCCCCTCCCCCCCCCCCCCCACTCCCCCCCCCCCCCCCCCCCCCCCCCTCCCCCCCCCCCCCCCACCCCCCCCCCCCCCCCCTCCCCCCACCCACACACACACACACACACACACACACACCCCTACACACACACCTACACACACACCTACACACACACACACACACACACAACACACACACCACACACACACACACACACACACACACACACACACACACACACACACACACACACACACACACACAAGCTGAAAACAACATGAGTCTAGCTGTCATAGCTGTTAACCATCATGGTCAATGACCAGTATGTTGATTTCCATAAGTTTGCCGACCTCTATGCAACATTGCCTAAAGGATGACTCATCACCCTGAGTTCACAGAGTCTTGAGAATCAGCAGTCTATGGGTCTGTATGCTAACACACTGACTTCTCTTTGGTGCTTGATGATGCTTTTGATTGGATCATTCTGGGATCCTGATAAAGCTGCACATACTTTGTTACAGTACTGAAGTATCAGTACTTTACGCCACCATTCATTTTCATTTTTCTCTTGCACTCCTTATCATTTTAACACAAATGTCCACTTCTTACATTTTAAAAACAGGCTTATTACTTTAGTTTTAATCTGCATAGTGGCATTATAATGACTATTTAGAGTCATTGAGCTCATATTTCAACATAATATCATAGAGAAAACATGATCAGTGTATATAAGACAATGACAGTCTCACAATTTGAAATATAACTTCTTTAATCTTCTTTTCATATAAAGTGAGGTCCAGTTACCAGCTTGAGTCTTTAAAACAGTTGGTAGTTATGGCTACTTTTTACTTAAGGACATTTCTTTACTTGTACTTGAATGAAGATGAAGTTTAGTCAGTACTTTTACAAGAGTATTTAAAAACACGAGTATCTGTATTTCTACTTGAGTGAAAGATGTGTGTACTTTGGCCATCTCTGAATTTGCATTAAAAGAAAACATAAAACAACTATAACTTTACAAAATGATAATGCTGTTTTTTCAGACAGGTCATGGTATTTATGCCAGCTTGGCAAAATAAAAATATGTCTGTCATGACAGCTAGTAGTGATTTCCAGAAGGCCTTTCCCTACGCTGCTGACTCTGTTTACAGCTATAAGCTTGTTCTAATTCTTGTGGTTGGTCATGTAAAGCGTCCTGTGTCTGTCTGTGTTCCCCAGCTGGACAACCCTGACGAGCAGGCGGCCCAGATCAGAAGAGAGCTGGACGGACGCCTGCAGATGGCCGACCAGATAGCTCGAGTAAGGCTGAACGGAGAATAAATGGAAAGATATTTACAGTAAAGCTCGGCTAGGTAACAATGAAAGCCACCAACAGTAAGCTTTTAAAAAGAGACCCAACTGAACAACCCAGCCCAATGTTGACAACTCTTTCCCACTATCATCATTGATGAATTGAATTACATTGATTTATATAAAACAAGGGACAGTGTACATTTATCAACATATTAAAAACATGTAAAAGTACTCGAATTAGCCAAAAGGCTAGTTTTCACCGATAGTCCCTTTGCCAGATGGTGATAGGCATCCTAAAAGCAAGAATACAAATACCACAACATTGTTATACCAAAACATATTTTCACATCACTGAATACAAATAAGAGCAAGTCATGATGATAAATAAAACATTCACAATACACACTCATACTAACACACCCACACATCAGTGCTGACACTTGGTTTTCAATGAGCCACTTTTTAACACTGCTTGAATGAGTAGTAGGATGAGGATTCTCTTATCGGTATTGAATTCCGTTGATGGGATGCGTGGAATGAAAGACAGCCTGGCTGAATGCGCTTTTCCTAAATGGGATGGTGCCGTCTCCCCTAGCCGCACCTCTAGTAGCCCTGGTGAGGTGGACTTTAGGCTGATGCAGCCAGAAGAGGAGGAGGAGCCAACCCACGAGTGATCTTATAAACTAAGCAGACATTTTTGTAAACTATGAAATGTTCCCAGCTGAACAGATTATACATTTTAACAATGTGGCAATGATGATACCAGAATGGCTTTTTGTCTAGTGTTTTGAGTTTGGCTCCAAAAGATCACTAATTGTTGTGAAAAAAATCGCGTTTTAAAAAATCGAGTAGGAAACACTGACAGCCTGTCCCTCCTAAGCCCCTCCCCTCATTATGAACAAAAACACATCATAGTAAATGTAACCAGTGGACATGGCTATTGTTAGCACACAGCTGTCAAGCTAGCAGCTTGCAACAGGCAGAGAGCAGAGTGCATGCTGGTACACCAGCAGGGCTTGCATTCAATCAGGTTAAAATAACTGAACCCTTTCACAGACAGAGATACATTTGTTCTATTTGTTTAGAGCAACTGATTTAATGATTGCTGTTGCAATGTGAAGAGTATTTCAACAAATATAACAACAGTAATATTGTTAAAATAAAACACCTACCTTTGTTTTTAGTGCTTTTAAAAAATAAAGTTGACTTTCAACTCATTTCAAAGTGAGTCATGAGTTCAGAAACATACATCATTTCTGTTATTTAAAGCTAATTATTTCCCCCTGTATATGGTTGTTCTGGAGTTTCAGTGGACTGAGCTCATGAATTATTGTCTGCTTCCTGTTCTGGCAGCATGGTGGAAGGTTTCCCAGGTTCTCATCCAGAGAGATGGAGGCCATGTTCATTGAGGAGATGCGATCCTCTGTCAACCTGCTGATGGCCAACCTGGAGAGCATGCCCGTGTCCAAGGGAGGGGAGTTCAAGCTGCAGAAGCTGAAACGAGGACACAACACCTCCATCATGGACATGGGCCAGGAGGACGAGAACACGCTGTCCAAATCTGACGTGGTGCTGTCCTTCACCCTGGAGGTGGGTGGACTAAGATGAACTTATTAAAGACGATAGTCTACTGATTTTAATCATATACATTAAGCAGTTTGAGGATTTGTGAGGGAGAGAGTTGACATGACCAATCCCTAGGTGACACTTGGATGAGGGTTCATCCTCTGGGAAACATAACATGTACTGAACGTTTATTATGGGCCTCACAGTGCCCTTAAAGGAAGCATTAAACAACTGTAATATGAAGTTACACGTTGCAATGAGAGTTATGCAGCAAAGACTTTATATCATGGAAATATCATCAACAACATTTCATCTTGAGAGCTTTAAAGATTAACACTAACGTGTGTCTGTGGCCTCCAGATCAAGACATATTAAACATGTATTTAGAGAATGTCTTAGGAACTTTATCAGCGGAATTCAGAACTCAGTCTAATATTATATTTCCACTCACAAGAACACATTTAACAAGTATGATGAGAAATGATTATAAGTTAACAACTTGACATCCAGTTCTGAAAAATGCAACCTACATTTCCCCAGAATGCAACCAATATTTGTGTTGGGCCCTCTCAGTCTGGTAAATGCTTTTTCCAAGCCAGGAGGTTTATATGGAAAGTTTTCCATGATAATTGTGCAGTTTCCAAATACAAGCTGAGATAACACGGATGACATCACTTTGAACTCATCCTAATTACTTTCTTAGTGGAACAAGGTTTAGCAATAATCAACAGCATGGATAGATTTTGGATTGGATTTCATTTTTCCACATCTGACACAAGAAAGCAGAAACACGGTTTACAATCTAACACGTTAGCACTGTTCAGGTCATGTGACAGATATGTTTTACACTGCTTATGTTATAATTACTACTACAACCAAGTGTAGGGCAACAGAGCAAAGTCCCTCAGCTGTCCATGAGCTGAATGGCGCTGAATTATTTGATTGATATGAACTACCAATAATACAGCTATTCCCGAGGTAAATACTCAGGCATCACAGTCCACTGGAATGGCGTACAGCAGGGGGGTTCAAAAGCTTTAAAAAATAGACATAGTATAGAAGCTTGTTTTGATATTGGTTGTTCAAGAAGTTCATTTGGAAAACTGCTGCTACATTATTTGGTTTGCTTTATCTCTGCAGGAAAAAGCTCCAGTCTGTCCCCAACAGTTCACTCTTTGAACGTTTGTTATTGTCTGAGCACAAAATACAGCTTTATTTAAATGAAGACGCAGTACATTTGGGTCTGTTGGAACAAAGAGTGTGTGTGTGTGTGTGTTGCAGGTGGTGATCATGGAGGTGCAGGGTCTGAAGTCATTGGCTCCAAACAGAATCGTTTACTGCACCATGGAGGTGGAGGGGGGGCACAAACTGCAGACTGACCAGGCTGAGGCCTCCAAACCAACGTGGGTACACACACACACGCACGCACGCACGCGCACACACGCACGCACGCACGCACGCACGCACGCACGCACGCACGCACGCACACACACACACACACAACTTTTCTCTACTTTAAAGAGTCCTCTCCTGCTGATGTTCAGGTGTATATCAGTATGTAGTGTCTCTATTTTAAAGAGTCATCTCCTGCTGATGTTCAGGTGTATATCAGTATGTAGTGTCTCTACTTTAAAGAGTCCTCTCCTGCTGATGTTCAGGTGTATATCAGTATGTAGTGTCTCTACTTTAAAGAGTCCTCTCCTGCTGATGTTCAGGTGTATATCAGTATGTAGTGTCTCTACTTTAAAGAGTCCTCTCCTGCTGATGTTCAGGTGTATATCAGTATGTAGTGTCTCTACTTTAAAGAGTCCTCTCCTGCTGATGTTCAGGTGTATATCAGTATGTAGTGTCTCTAATTTAAAGAGTCCTCTCCTGCTGATGTTCAGGTGTATATCATTATGTAGTGTCTCTACTTTAAAGAGTCCTCTCCTGCTGATGTTCAGGTGTATATCAGTATGTAGTGTCTCTACTTTAAAGAGTCCTCTCCTGCTGATGTTCAGGTGTATATCAGTATGTAGTGTCTCTACTTTAAAGAGTCCTCTCCTGCTGATGTTCAGGTGTATATCAGTATGTAGTGTCTCTACTTTAAAGAGTCCTCTCCTGCTGATGTTCAGGTGTATATCAGTATGTAGTGTCTCTACTTTAAAGAGTCCTCTCCTGCTGATGTTCAGGTGTATATCAGTATGTAGTGTCTCTACTTTAAAGAGTCCTCTCCTGCTGATGTTCAGGTGTATATCAGTATGTAGTGTCTCTACTTAAAGAGTCCTCTCCTGCTGATGTTCAGGTGTATATCAGTATGTAGTGTCTCTACTTTAAAGAGTCCTATCCTGCTGATGTTCAGGTGTATATCAGTATGTAGTGTCTCTACTTTAAAGAGTCCTCTCTTGCTGATGTTCAGGTGTATATCAGTATGTAGTGTCTCTAATTTAAAGAGTCCTCTCCTGCTGATGTTCAGGTGTATATCAGCATGTAGTGTCTCTACTTTAAAGAGTCCTCTCCTGCTGATGTTCAGGTGTATATCAGTATGTAGTGTCTCTACTTTAAAGAGTCCTCTCCTGCTGATGTTCAGGTGTATATCAGTATGTAGTGTCTCTACTTTAAAGAGTCCTCTCCTGCTGATGTTCAGGTGTATATCAGCATGTAGTGTCTCTACTTTAAAGAGTCCTCTCCTGCTGATGTTCAGGTGTATATCAGTATGTAGTGTCTCTACTTTAAAGAGTCCTCTCCTGCTGATGTTCAGGTGTATATCAGTATGTAGTGTCTCTACTTTAAAGAGTCCTCTACTGCTGATGTTCAGGTGTATATCAGTATGTAGTGTCTCTACTTTAAAGAGTCCTCTCCTGTTAATGTTCAGGTGTATATCAGTATGTAGTGTCTCTACTTTAAAGAGTCCTCTCTTGTTGATGTTCAGGTGTATATCAGTATGTAGTGTCTCTACTTTAAAGAGTCCTCTCTTGCTGATGTTCAGGTGTATATCACTATGTAGTGTCTCTACTTTAAAGAGTCCTCTCCTGCTGATGTTCAGGTGTATATCAGTATGTAGTGTCTCTACTTTAAAGAGTCCTCTCCTGCTGATGTTCAGGTGTATATCAGTATGTAGTGTCTCTACTTTAAAGAGTCCTCTCCTGCTGATGTTCAGGTGTATATCAGTATGTAGTGTCTCTACTTTAAAGAGTCCTCTCCTGCTGATGTTCAGGTGTATATCAGTATGTAGTGTCTCTACTTTAAAGAGTCCTCTCCTGCTGATGTTCAGGTGTATATCAGTATGTAGTGTCTCTACTTTAAAGAGTCCTCTCCTGCTGATGTTCAGGTGTATATCAGTATGTAGTGTCTCTACTTTAAAGAGTCCTCTCCTGCTGATGTTCAGGTGTATATCAGTATGTAGTGTCTCTACTTTAAAGAGTCCTCTCCTGCTGATGTTCAGGTGTATATCAGTATGTAGTGTCTCTACTTTAAAGAGTCCTCTCCTGCTGATGTTCAGGTGTATATCATTATATAGTGTCTCTACTTTAAAGAGTCCTCTCCTGCTGATGTTCAGGTGTATATCAGTATGTAGTGTCTCTACTTTAAAGAGTCCTCTCTTGCTGATGTTCAGGTGTATATCAGTATGTAGTGTCTCTAATTTAAAGAGTCCTCTCCTGCTGATGTTCAGGTGTATATCAGTATGTAGTGTCTCTACTTTAAAGAGTCCTCTCCTGCTGATGTTCAGGTGTATATCAGTATGTAGTGTCTCTACTTTAAAGAGTCCTCTCTTGCTGATGTTCAGGTGTATATTGTAAAGGAAACTTCTGTGTAGTAGCTATGCAGTGGGAGTCACCGACTCAGGAAGGAGACACGGTAGGAGCAGTAGCTTTGATGTCAAACACTGATGGTTTATTTGGAGTTAACGGCCGGAGGATTCACATCACAAGTCCAAGAGCCAGAGGTTCTGACTTCACGGTAGAGTTGCCACGTCAATTCTGAAGAACTCTACCTCAGACCCATGTATTTAACTAGTTCTGAGAGCATCATCAAACTGCTGCATAACAAGATAAAATCATAACACCTCTATCAGCTGACGTCAACAGGCAGGAACATAGAATCATAACACCTCTATCAGCTGACGCCAACAGGCAGGAACAGGGAGACAGAACACTGAGAGCACAGCAGCCAAGGTTACGAGGTGCGTGTGCTCAGTCAGGACAGTTTGAACTGATAAACTGGGTCAAAGTTATGGGCCTTGGAAAATATTTCCACAACAGTTTCTTCCTTTTTTATCAATTTTGATAATCTAAAAACCTTAGTCTAATAATATTTAGTTCAACACACACACACACACACACACACACACACACACACACACACACACACACACACACACACACACACACACACACACACACACACACACACACACACACACACACACACACACACCACACACACACACCACACACACACACACACACACACACACACACACACACACACACACACACACACACGATGATTTGAACAATGAGAGCTTTAATATATCACATAGTGCCATCTGCTGGTCAGACCCCTAAATCCAACATGTAGTGAGCTGCTTGATTGATTGTTTGATTGAAAAGTTTATTAACAGCTTGTATATTGGGTACAGTACAGTACAGCTCAAAACATACAATTGTTAAGGGGATGCAGACCAGAGAAAGACTTTCGTCTTGTTTACATCAGGGTCCCCCATTTCCAATTCATCATGTCATTTAAGACATATAAGACATATTTGACATACAGATGGCTTATTTACAATTTACATACAGGTGGTTTTTTACATACAGATTGCTTATTTACAATTTTCATTTTAGATTTGGTTCTAATACATCCTAACCGGACATTTAAGACATACCAAGTCTACAGATATACAGTTAATAACAGAGTCTAAAATGCGAGTATATACATAGATGGGGGGGGGGGGAAGCTGTCCATTGAACGACAGGTTGAGATTTGTACCATTACCGGGGCCAGTTTTGCAATGCTCTCCCCCGAAGGTGCTCTTTAAGAGAGGTTTTGAAGGTAAGTATAGTTTTACTTTCCTTTACAGTTGTGGGAAGAGCGTTCCACCTTGATATGGCATAATTGCGAAACGTGTATTCCCCCTTTTTTGTGCCAAATCTGGGTTTCACATGATTTGTGGAGCTCCCTCTGGTGTTATGATCTTGGTATTCCTTGTCCTTTGGGAAGAATTTTGACATGTACATGGGTACCATAGAGGTGTAGTGGATCTTGTAGACCAGGCCCATTGCAAGTAGCTGTACTCTGTCGTCTACTCTAAGCCATCCTAGGTTGTCAAAGTGGGCAGAGGTGAGGTGGGTTCTAGATGAAAGGTCAAGCAGTAGTCTGACCAGTTTATTTTGCCATGTTTGAAGTTTTATTTTTAGCGCCTTGGAGGTGCTATGGTTGGTGAATGTAGTGCAGGTGTGGAAATCATTTAATGAATGGTTTCACAAACCCTACAATCATTGATGTCCTAATCATATCTCCCTCAACTTGCAGTATAATCAGTTTGGTGCTCATTGTATTTACTCCAATGCTTCTTTAACGCTCCTGCAACACTCTTTGCAGTTTCATTCCTTTATCATTTCGTTAGATTTTCTTAGATTTCAAGAGTTTCGGTGACACAGTATAAAAACTATATATGTATTCAATATTTTTGTATTATTTTGTACTTAAACTATATTGAAGTGTTTTGGTGAAATTGATACTCGGAAAGTGTGTTCGCTCAACATTTGCTCTAATAATTCACAGCTGTTACAAATAAGTTGTCTCATCACTGACACTTCCTGTTGCTCTCACTCTTGTCTGTTGGTGTTTAATAGCACAAGCTGTTTTAACAGTACAGTAGGAGTGAGCGAGCCGTGGGAGTCTAACAGATATATAGATAATGGGAACACATTATCTATATATCTTGTTGGCCTTCTGAAAAGCTCATTTGCAATTGAGAAGCTTTAACAGGCACTGCTTAAATGTTTAAAACGTTAAATGCTTAAATGGTGAGGATGATCATTCATGTGTGTGGGATTCAAATTCACTATAGAAATGATAATGTTTCACTTATCAGCTCCTTTTAATTATGGTCCCCATTTCTGCATAAGAGTATAAGAATATAGTTACTAAGATATGCTACACTTGAACTGATCAGAGAGCGGTGTGTTTACAGTAAGGATGTCAGGACCTTCTCTCAGTGGAATGAGGCCCTCATGCATGCTTTATTTACACCTGTATATAACCTGTGATTTTACATCCGCGCTTGTTCTGACAGAACCATCATCTCGAGTATCAGATGCTCAGCAGATCAGAGACGTCCTCATCTCTAACAAGCTGCTATCTGTCTATTCATCTTCTGTGTGTCTGTGTGTGTGTGTGTGTGTGTGTGTGTGTGTGTGTGTGTGTGTGTGTGTGTGTGTGTGTGTGTGTGTGTGTGTGTGTGTGTGTGTGTGTGTGTGTGTGTGTGTGTGTGTGTGTGTGTGTGTGTGTAGTTGGGGAACCCAGGGTGACTTTACCACCACGCAGCCGCTGCCCGCTGTGAAGGTGAAGCTGTTCACTGAGAGCACAGGAGTGTTGGCTCTGGAGGATAAGGAGCTGGGGAAGGTAAGTGATGACACTCTGTTGCTTCTTACATTGGGTGCAACCTTTGTACACTATATATTGTTTTGCACATATACATTACTATCATCTGTCTGTGTCCAGGTTGTGCTCCACCCGACTCCAAACAGTCCCAAGCAGTCAGAGCTCCACAAGATGACGGTGTCTAAAGGCTGTCCGGACAGCGACCTGAGGATCAAACTGGCCATCCGCATGGACAAACCACAGAACATGAAGCATTGTGGGTAAGTGACAGTGAGACCGTCCTGCTGGTAGTGGTGACATTTCTCTAATATGCATATTCTAATTGATCAGATTTACAGGTAGATATATTATAAAATTGGCTGTGTTATCATGGTCCTGTACACCAAACACACACACTCTCACAGTGTTTGAGTGTGTGTAGCTTGAAAGACCTTTTGTGCACAATCTGAAGCAGGTCTTACCAAAACAACAAGGTAAAACAGTCTGACACATTTGATGAAATGGTAAAGCTATTGTTTAAAACTAGATAAAGATTATTATATTATAGAGTTAAAAAATATGTTTCTTGTTTAACAACTCACTCAATGATTTACAAATGGTCATTTTGGGTTGGAATATTCCTTTAAATCATCCTTTTGGCTACATAACAGGTGTATTATTTGAGGTACCTGGCCCAAAAGACAATGTATGTCTCCCTCTTGTGGCTGTCAGTCGTTACTGCTTCATTTGCCACTGCAGTGTATGGGACACTAACTTAGTAGGTATAATGGCAATTTGAATGTTCCAATGTCCTATATCCTTTTGCCAGTACTTCACAGGAGGGATTAGAGTGATCCTGACGCAGACACAAACAGATGAATTTCCGGTCTTTTGCTGCAGTTTAGAATGATGTTTTATTTAGCGTTTACATACCAAGGTGTAATTACAGTCAATAGTTGTGGTGAGCTTCTGCCGGGCTGGTGGAATCGGTGTACTCTTCCTCCTGTGTCCTCGTCCTCTCCTGTCACCCCTTTTTTACCCGGTGCAGCTAAACCCCGCCACCAAGTGTTCAACAATAATATTGCACTATACATATAAATTAAATAAACTGAGACACCAACAACACCCATACAATGGCTCCTACAGTAGGGCTTGAAGAATGTTACAGGTGGTCCACGGCACATAATACAGTAAGGCCTTTGGACCATTTTAAATCATTTTTAATTAAACTAGTTGTTTCGGAAATATACTTTCATGGCAGACATGTTTTATTTTAAGATACATCACATTTCATTTAGCTTTATAAATGCAATCAACCATGAAGATAGAAACTCCAAAAGCAAGAATCCCACACATACATAATGTTAAATTAGCCAAACCATTGAAGTGTTGCTGCATTGGCTTTAACTACTAAGCCAACACTCTCAAGTCATATGTATACTCTCTGCTGTCCTGATATCAATGGGACACTCGTTCCACTTTGAACCCGCATAGCATCAGGCGTGTTTGAGTTTACGGGGTATCTGGCGCCTACTTGCAGTGAGGAAGTGAGGAGTCATGTTAACGTGTGTATGGTTTAACCATGTCCTGGATGCAGGAAATAGGCACAGTGCAGTTGGCCAGTACCAGTTTCTTGAAGCGGATATTATCACGTCAAAGCAGTAAAATGATGTTGTATTTAATGACAGTCATGAAAGCCTGCAGCTCAGTGGCGGCGCTATGGGGTGGCTACTTGGGCTCAAGCCCCGGATGTTTTCTGAAAAGCCCCGGATGTTTCACTTAAAAAACATTTAATTGTTGAAAACGTCTCGGGAGTAATGTGCAGTACCGGAGTCCACCAGAGAGGCAGCCGCTGCGGGACAGTAGCCTGCGTACTGCGTAGCCTTCCCTGCCCTGAAGAAGAAGTGATCCTTCCTAGTGCCTGACGAGTTTTAAGCTAATAGCCCAGGCATCCTCAAACTACGGACTCCGGTCCGGATCCGGACCGAACCACCACTGTCTCCGGACTCTGAGCAAATTATACTTTTCATATGTATGATCTCTCTGTATTATATGTGAGACATCGCCACAACGCATTCGCAACGAGTCAAAATTCTCCGCTATGTCCACTGCAAACAGCGCTCTGCATGTCTGACTGTTCCACTGTGTTCCACCTGTGTGCGTCAACGCTTTGGTCCAATCACATTCAGCATCCAGTCAGCGTTTTTTCCCCCCAAACAATCTGCGAATCAGAGGCACAGTAGGGCGGGTCTTCGCGGAATGCGGATGGGAAAAATGTGTGTGTCTCTTTCAACCTGTCTAAGTCAGAGCGAGAATTAAAACAAAAACAAAAAAAATTCAGAGCGAGAGTTAACAGCTCATCTAGTTCCATCTGTACTGTAGCTAGTAGCCTTGTTTCACCTACCGGGGTGGCAACTGACACCCTAAAAATAGGCCTTGCCACCCCAGTTGGCAGCTTTGTTTTGAAAGAAAAGTTGTGGCTCATCGGACATTTATGAGAGAAAGTCTCTAATGTCCGAGTGCAAGTGAATGCAGCACAAGATGCACGTCATGTAACCCCTCCCCCGGTCCTGGCGCGAGCGTGGACATACGATTTGGCGGCGATTTCATTTTTAACTGGACGGCGCAAAACGAGAAGCATTCGGACCCAAGCGCTGAAGGAATGAGGTATTTGCGGTCTACAATGACAGAGAAGAGACTGTCAGTGTGGCTGTACTCAGCATTGAATCAAAACGCACTGAAAGCTGTTGATCTTAATACGTTTGTGAGGCGTTTTCGCTGAACAACATGGTAATCGCCGCATTCAGCTGTAATAGACATGTCAACTTGATGCTCTGCTCACGGATGAGCATACACAACTATTAAGATGATGACCTTACGTGTGTAAATATATTGTTTTCTTTGAGGGGGTCTGCCCCCCAAAAAACTGTTTTAAGTCCTGAGAAAGTCAAATAAGACGGTGTGTAAAACTACACTGCCCAGCCAAAAAAAAGTAACCACTTTGATGTAACTAGGCCAGTAGGTAAGGACTTTCCACTGGATAATAACTGCAGTATAAAAGAATGCATGACTGAAGTGATGGAGACCATGTTGAAGGCAAACAAAAAGAGGAAATAACAGGTCAAATCAAGCAAATCTCCCTCTCAGATTGCACAGCAACCAGAAGAACATACATACTGGCTGGTGATTTGATTCATCAGCTTTGTGATGGAATAAAAAATGCACAGTGCATTTCCTTAGCTGTGGGTGAGTCCACTGACACCACTGACAATGCTCAGTTGCTGGTGTTTGTGAGTTTTTATGATGAGGCAAAGGGGGAGTTTGTTGAAGATGTGTTGGGCCTGACGAACCTCAGTGGACACACAAGGGGGCAAGACATTTATAAAGCAATAATGGGAATGCTGAATGAAAGAGGGTGCAGCTGCCTTTATTCCTAACTGTGCAGCTCTTACACTGCGACTCTGAGGGGTCAAGCACAGACACAATAACAATGAAAACTGCTGCATACAGATTATTTTTGTTTTTGCAACCTCGTGTTAAGAATCTTGTTGCAATTGTTTAAAAGTTTGAATGACCGTAATAAACGGACCTTTGTCTTATTGAAACATTTATTTTGGACCTTTAAGATTTGTATTTGAGTACCCCTGTAATAGCCTATAAAGTTATGGATATTAGAAAACCACAAGCTGCTGCTGCAGCAGCAGTATCAGCAGCTGACAACAATGTTATCACCAGCAGTGAAGAAATGGATGATGTTTCAGGTTTGTGAATCTAATGGTGATATCTGCACTCTGGCTGACTGAGTAAGAAGTTTAAAAGAGTGATGTAACGTTAATGTTATAGCTAGTAAACATGGAGTAACCACACTAACCCCTAGATTCTACCGGGTCCGTCTGCGGCGCTCTACGGGCGAGTTACGGCTGCGCCGCGGTGATCGCGGCGCTCGCGGCCACTCTAGTCAATGGGTGCCATTCCACCACACGCGCCGCGTTACCCCCAGTTTCCACCGGGTCCGTCTGCGCTGCGCCACGTTACGGCTGCGCCGCGGCGGTCGTGAGGATCGCGGCCACTCTAGTCAATGGGTGCTATTCCACCACACGCGCCGCGTTACCCCCAGTTTCCACCGGGTCCGTCTGCGCCACGCTGCGCTGTGTTACGGCTGTGCCGCGGCGGTCGTAAGGATCGCGGCCACTCTAGTCAATGGGTGCTATTCCACCACACGCGCCGTGTTACGGCTCAGACGCGTCCCAGAAGCGTCCCAGAAGCGGCTCGGCGCAGCGCTTCTCTAACATTAGGAGGAATCCTATTTTTGCCGCGGCGCAGCCGTGACATAAGGTCGGACAGGCAGCCCCCCCTCGCAGGAAGTGGAAAGGTGAGCATCCGGGCCAGGCCCATCCCCCACATATACTAATTTAGCAGACCCCCCTCCTTCATCACAACACCTCCACTATGATACGCACAATGGACGACGAGGTTTTCATCATGGAAGTGGAAATACACACTATTTGATATGATGTAACCAATGCTTATAACTATTACAATTATTGTTAACTGTGTCTGTAGACTACAACACAACAAAATAGGAAATTTATAACAACAATAAACACAATTTAAACTGACACAAAAATAAAACATTTAACTACGTAGCCTACTTACTTTCTTGTAGAAGTACAAATGTCCAGGATGCCTGAATCAATAACAAAACTGCGAGCCTGCACGCACGACGCTACGCTTCTGAAACGCTTCTGGGACGCGTTCGGTGGGTTATGGCGCTAGAGGAGGTCGGACCAAAACCGTGGCGTAGCCGTGACGCGGCGCAGACGGACCCAGTGGAAACTGGGGGTCAAATTAGGATGAATCCTATTTTTGATGCGGCGCAGCCGTAACATAAGGTCGGGCAGGCAGCCCCCCCTCGCAGAAAGTGGAAAGGTGAGCATCTGGGCCAGGCCCATCCCCCACATATACTAATTTAGCAGACCCCCCTCCTTCATCACAACACCTCCACTACGATACGCACAATGGACGACGAGGTTTTCATCATGGAAGTGGAAAAACACACTATTTTATATGATGTAACCAATGCTTACTACAAGGACAACATCAGAAAGGTCTGGTTATAGTCGCTGCAGTTTGTGGAGTGGAAGGTAACAACTACATATTAGGAAATGTATAACAACAATAAACACAATTTAAACAGACACAAAAATAAAACATTTAACTACGTACCCTACATACTTTCTTGTAGAAGTACAAATGTCCAGGATGCCCGAATCAATAACAA